TAATAAAAATAGTTAGTTGCAGCCATATAACATTTCTTTCAGTAATAAAGAAAGCAACTGCTCACATTTGTGGAACCATAATTGGCAAATGTGATATTCTTCTACTCCTTTCAATACTACAAAATTAATATCTGAATGGACCAGACTGTGAAAAAAGCAACCTCTTCCAATAAATATCTGCACCATCAATATGACAGCTCTCCAAAAGTGAAGCCAAAACATCTCGATCGCCCCCTGGTGGCTGACTGCAGTATCATAAAGCCTCCACGTTAGCAGATTGGCCAAACAAAAAAAGTCCAAGGCAAGTACATTTTTCACAATAATTTTTGGTTTTCACGTCATGATTGATAGACCTCGATCCATCTTTTATATGTCGATGATCTGCCGCCAAAGGTATCAGCTCAGAAAGTCATGGATCATTTCCCTGCTTCTCTCAGTTTTATGGGCTTCCACTGCTGTGAAAAGTTGGTCAAATCTAAATGTTTTATGTGTTGTTGTACTTGTGCACATATGTTTTTTTGTCCTCCCTGACAGAATTTGCCTGCAGAAAATAATATCATATTTCTTGTCATGTGTGAGTCATAGAAAGGCCTGCTGGTATATTATGTACCTTGTCGGTGTTGAAATAGTCATGACAATATTTAGACTTGTTCTTTCAAAGCTGTGCACTGCTAGCAACATTAGGATAATAATGGCTCCTGCACAAACATACGTACACTATATAAACACACAGTAATACAAATAGATCCTTAGCTTCTTTTTTCTTTCAACTCAAGTGATTCATGAGCCGTGGAATGGCGTGACAGGAATGCGCTGATCACTCAGTACTCTCCAGCTCTACTGAGTAAATAACTGCGGGGAGGGAGGGAAAACGGACTGCTGAATGAATAAAAGGACAAAAGAATGAATGAATTAGGGAATGAATGAATGACACAAGTCCAATAATGTGACTGTCTCGCTACAGTTAAGAGCCTTGTTTGTTTGTTACGAGGCAGTAATATGGTGCAGCCAGACAAAAAAGGAAGACCACAACAGTCAGAGTAAACACAAAAGCACACCCATTCAGATTGTTTTTAAGCTGGGGTGTATTGGCCAATAAATGGTTTGAGCCGTGCCTGCAGGTTTTAGGGTTTACTCAGGGGTTAGTGCAGAGAGGGAGATTGTAGAAGGGCTTTGCACACTATCTCAAAATGATGGTATAAAAGCAGATGGAGATTAGAATAAAGATACTGTAAAGTCTAGTTGTTTCTCACGGTTACAGTGATTTCCTACTAAGCTACTGGATTTGAATGAATTACAATCCTGTGGGTCACAGAGTTCTCACTTTATATCACTTAATGTCTTAAAATATTCCAACTACTCGCTAATAATGCTTTCATTAAACTCACATTAGTTTGTCTTTAAAAAGGCAATCTTGAACTTGAATCATTTTTTAACTTTTGAAACCTTCCTTTTACAAATTGAATTCACAGTAAAACACACACAGTTTCTTTTTCCCACAGCCTTACTTGGTCTGGTATAACCAGTAGCTTATGGTGGCTAACATTAACTCATGTTTGCATGCACACTTCAGATGGATATTGCTCTATTGCTGCCAGTTGTGTTGTTGACTTTGTCAGCCATGGTGCATTTTACTTGACAGTTCCTTTCTTGACTGCAGCTCAGATGCCCTCATTTTACTCCTATAATCACAGCACTCAGGGTTGAAGGTGTGTGAGTTGTGGGGTGGAGTCAGGAAGCAGCCTCAGGCACGAGGCACCTGTTGGGTCCACAGTGTTTCTGTCTGTAGCCCGCTCTGACACATCCTTCCCGAACCATGGCTCGCAGCCCAAAATATTCCCTTAACCACCAATGACGCACATGCAGCCGCTGCCAACACTTAATAGAGGCTTTTCATATTTTCACCCTTGTCTATGTCTTTAATTTTTATCTATACCCTTAATATAGCTATTTTTACTGCTGCTTCTTAACTGTTAGCTTAGGGTCTTTGTACATACTTACAGCAGTTGAAAGGGCATCATAAAACATCTAATGCGAGTGTTGCGTGCCTCACCCTGACAAACAAGTCTCCGTGTTCGTTGAAAAGCCTTCAGGTATCCACGTTAAGACGTCAAGAGTTTCTTTACAGCTAGCATTTTTAAACAATTAAGTGACCCACTTATGTAAACAAACCCTTTGCCGTTTGAGTGTAAACAGGCAGTGAAGATTGATCCTTTATAATCAGCACCTGGCACAAAACTGATTGTAAAAATGCTCATTAAGACAAGGTTTTGATTGATCCGAGAACCTCCTCAGCTGAAGTGTTTTCATTCCACCTCACAAGTAGAAGTGAGAGGCCATAGTCTTGTAATTCAGAGAAACTGGCAAACATTTTAGGCCGTTTATTGACGCTTCCTGAGGCCAAGTTGCAGCTCTTGCTGATGGCAGGATGGAAACAGTCTGGCCTGGTGATTGAACCACCTAAGCATTCAGTTCAGCTCTCTTATCCACATCAGTAGTTTAATTGCACATGCTGACAACCCTATTCTTTTACCAACACGTTGTGCTCTTGTGTTCGCTTGCGCTTTCAGGTATATGACTGCACTGACGGACTCTGAGGAAGAAGAGCTAAGTGATGCAGAGCAGACGGATGAAGAACAGCCCGTAGACAAGTTATCTGTCCTCCTGGAGCGGATCGACTGTTTGCATCAGGGCACTGAATCTGACAAAAGGGAAAGTCTCAACGTCCTTTTGGAGCAGAGAGACGAGGTGTGTAAACTCCCCGAATGCATTCAGTTGATGGATGTTCATAATCCTGTCATTCAATACAAAACAGTGCGTCTTAACACTTTGATGTTCTTCTGTAGTTTGGACAGAACTCAACGTTTCTTTGGCGGCTAATCCGAGCTTACTGTGATGTTCATGATGTCAGCTCCACTCTGGAGGAGAAGAAGACCTACGCAGAAACTGGTAAACTACTTAACCTTGTTTTATACATAATTTTCCACATAACCACAGCTGTTATACTGGCCAAACCCCAAATGTCAGTGTCTCATTCGGAAAACCCAAATCCAAAGTCTGTGTTCCTGCAGTGACCTCAGTCAGTTAGTTGGTTCACCCACAATGAATTACTGTAGCAGAAACTATATTTCAAATGGTCTACAATGGACCAGATAATGTTAACTGCAAGAGTGGAGTCCTGTGGGACAGCACAAGCCTGGTTGTATAACACACAATACCCTCACTAAATGAACTACAACTCTAGAAAAGCTCTTGTCCACATTCTGCCCACTGATTATTGGTTCTCAATAAAAAGACATTTATTGTCAACTTAAGGTTCAAATCCTTGATTGGTGTACAGTACAGCACCCTTTCCCCCACAACAGCAACATCATGGTTATTAATAAGATTTAAGGACCAGTATGTAGCATTTAGTGCCATCTAGTGGTGAAGTTTCAGATTGCAACTAACTGAACACAACTGGCGTCTGTTTTTGAAGACCTGGGAATGAGAACGGGGGTGTGAAGGAGAAACTACTGTGGCCATAACACTCAGTTTGTTGTTAAAAATGTCTCATTCTAAGGTAACAAAACACACCAATTCCTATATTCATTATACACTAATGAAAACATACCTACAGTGAATATTATATTATATTTCTGCCAATAGAGCCTCCTGAATGTTACACACTGGACCTTTAAGTCTGATTGTTGTGGTGGAAAGAGCACTTGCATCAAGTGTCAGTCATGAGAGAAATGTAGTGACATCTTTGGTTATCAATCGATAATGTGTGCAGATTTAGAGCCAAACTTCTGACAGTGTCAAACTCACAATCTGATATGATACTACACTCCACATTCACCAACCAACCAGGATAGATTCTCTGTTTATCTCAAAGTCTATTTTAAAACTTGGCATTTCTTATCTTCTTTGCCCCTTTGTGTTTTATTTAGAGAGCTATTTCTAAAGCCTGTAAAATTACTATCCTACAGTCTGACACAGATTGTGACCGAGATTTTTCCCACAGTGTGACGAGCATTGAGCTTTCTAGATTTTTGCTATCACACAGTCTGTCGGCACCATGATCCATTGCACCCTGAACTAATAAATACGCTACGCACTCAACAAAGACGACATCTCACGGTCTGAAAGTCAACTTCATGACAAAACATTTTTTTTTCTCTGTGATCTCCAACAGGTTTTTGAAAGCAGTGTACGAGGACTTTCCGTGCTTGTCTTGTGTTACACTCTGAGACTTTGCACAGTAGACCATAATGCTTTTTTTTTTTTCCTCAAACAGAGGCTGTTTTGTGATTCTACCGAAGTTCAGACTGGATTGACCTGTTTCTCTGTAATCCTTCCTCATCAATGTGCCTCTAATTAGAGCTGGCCAGGTGCTTCCTGCAAAGACACCTGTGTCAAAGGCATTTCACAGTGATAGAGACAAGGATATTTAAAGCAACAAGGCATCATATTTAACATTCATGTCGACATTAATAGAGCAGATGGAATGAGACACTTTTCCACTGAGTGATGAAGGATTTAAAACTGAGCTCTCTTCTTGTATTGCATTTCACATCACTTCTGTTTTTATTGCTTTAATCCAGTGCCCAGCGATGTTTCATGATTTATGTATATCCTGTTTTGTTTTCTCAGTCAACACACCCCTCGACTCCACTAATCCGCGTTCTCTTCTTTTGTCGTGTGAACAAGAATGTCCAGGGGTGAATTGCGTGTGTTGAGTTTGTGTTTCAGTGGAGCATCATTATCTGTTGTCTATCTTTCTCTTTCCTCTTAGGGAAGAAAGTTGGTGAGGAGGCAGTGAGCCTGAACCCTACATGTGCTGAAAGTCATCAGTGGTAGGTTTAAGTTGTTTCCTCCTCCTTCCACATTGTTTAAAAGGTACATTTTGTTCTGTTAAGTAACAATACACGCAGATACAGTTTAACGGCACGTGACTTGCTGTCATCGAGTCCCATTATGTGAATCACTTGCTTGAATCCTACACCAACTTTTTCAGTAAAGGCAATGAGATAGAGTGAAAGCATAAATACAGGTACTTTCCCCAGATGAGTGGTGTTGGAGGGGGGGTAAGACCTTTTGAGTGATGTGCCAGCAGGAGCAGCTGTTCCTCGGTGTTTGAAAGGGTTTGGTTGGCATCTCTTTGGCCAGATTAGCAGAGTTAACTTGAATGAATCCAAAGGCACATCTCAGAAAGCCGACAGGGGTTAAATGATTGAGTGACTTAAAATGTGAATGATGATGAACGCTTTCCAGACATGCATGTTTGTGAGTTAATAGTATCTTTCCTTCCAAAACATGGGCCGCCTGATAGCATCACATCCAGTTTGAGGAATGTAAACACTGCCTAGGTTAACTGCTCAGATAGACTGACGGTCACACCGGAATAACTCGTGATAAATGGTCTTCTCTTATTGCAGTTCCTGTATGTACAGCACGAGCTCTACGTACTTACAGCTTTACAAATTTAGTGCTTGGGGTTATGCTGGTGATGTATGTGGTGCCAAAGGACTGTCCAGCTCATAACATTTGTCTGATTTACCCCAGTAATTCCTCAAAAATATCTTAAAACACATTGTCTCAATCTGATGCTAGTGGACATTTCCAAATGACTACTAATTCTCGTTCTGAGTGGTCCTTAGTGCAACCATCAGTGAAGGGGAATTTTGCTGCCGTAGGTCATTCTCAGACAAAGGAGATAAGGAGAACCTCCTCTACCCTCGTATACCTCCCCGGTTGCTCTGTGACTCAGGGAAAAATCCCCTTGCTTTTAATTAGTTGTGCAGAGTGGGCCTGATGGCATGAATCCCGTTTATATTTGTGCAGGCCCCAGTGGTGCATTCCTCATCTGGAACACTGCTCATGTCAAAACTTGACTGCCGATCATACACGGAATCTATGGCTGGAATAGAGAGATGAAGATTGCAGCTCTGAGATCAGCTTGCAGCTGCTAGGGGTTTGAAAACAACTGCAAAGTCTGCTTCGGATGCAGCTACAATAAAATGATACAAAGCCCCTTTTATTTAGCTTTATTTACCTCATGTATGAGTTCCATACAGTAAACATTGTACTGTGTTTTCTTGTTTATATCCCCCAGTATACGTATTTGTTACCATTAATTACATTCCCTGAATTAGTGTCCTGTGTAATTGAGATCATGTGGTTACTCTCTGTATACACGCGTAAGAAGTGTTCTCATGGAAAACAGACCCAAAGGGTCTCGAGCCAGCAGCCCTGTTTGCTCTGTTCGTTAGGGAATAATTAGCATTAGCTCATGCACATACCGCAGCACTCGAGACGTCAAGTGAAATAGAAGGCCGTGTTTGTTTAGTTAATTAAGAGCAACAGGATTAAAAAAGCTTAATGCTTAATCCTATATCCACTAATGGAATTTGTAAGATCCTTAAACTGAGCAGAAACGCTGTCTAAATTGAATGGACAGGGCAAAGTAGGTAAAGCCGCACTTTGAGAAGGGAGCAGGCAGGGACTGGGGACAGCGCCAGGCAGTGTTGCAAGGAAGTTTACGTCTGAGGTAACTGTTTACTTAGTGTACCGATGCCGTGAGAAAACTTGTCACCTGTTTTCCTGAATGCCGCCCAGCTCGTCACAATTTGGCAGATGTTGTTTAGACGTGCTGCCAGTTAGTTCCTGCTCTGCCACTGAAACTACTTATAGAGACTTCTTTACATAGCTCAAGTGAATGAAAGGCTTTTGAGCCTTTCCATTGCCATCTACCCTAATTTAACTCTAAATCTGGGTAAATGGCAAGATGATGTAAATGTATTGAAATGGGTTCAAATGAATGATGAATATTATTATTTTTTTTTTTATGTGAAAGATCTACTAATGATTTTTAACTTACATTTTACAACTTTTCTGTGAAAATAATGCAGGCACACCTGATCCGGTCCAATATGAAGCATTTCAGCAAATAATTGGCGCAACAAAATCTTATTGTAATGCCGAAATGAAGTTAAATTCTAAATATATCACACAGTAGACAATGACTGTAGAACCACAGTATGTTGTGTACTGTATGTTTACATCTTCTTGACCCAACAATTATAATTGCAATGTGTTAATTTTACGTATTTAACTACAGTTAAGATAACCAACACAAGATCTGCTGACTCATTCTTAGTCTTCATGGTGCAGTACCACAAACCTGAATAATTGGGTGTTCATCAAAACCTTTATTCTGAAACTTCCGTAAGTGTTTTAAGTATGATTTGTCAAACCAGTTTGACACATCTTCAATTATAAAGTGTCACATTACTGTTTGTGACCTATAAATACTTGCAAGTTTGGAGCAAATTACAATTCCCACTAAATGTGTTTTCATTCATTATTTCATCTGTTTTTTATTTGTGGAAATTTGATAACGTTTTTTGTAATTTTTTTTTTTATGAGGTACAGTACATCCAGAACTTGTATCCGGAGAACCACAATGACCTAATGCATATACACTCAGATTTCTTTGATTGACAGGTTAGCAGGTAGCGTGAGGAGCCAAGTCTCAAAAACCTGCTCCGTTGTATTTGTAGCTTGCAGGGCAAGTCACAGGTGTGAATACACTGTGTCTCTGTGAAAGGTACAACTGCTCTAGGTGTGCACCACTTATCTGTCAAGTACATTTGAATTCAGACTAAATATGTTTTAACAGGTTAACAAAGCTTGTCCTTCTTTTAATGGATCCTCCTAATGCAGCAGATAAATGCAGCTTCTCTTTGCAGGTATTTGTTCAAGAACCACAGTATCGGCAGTGCAAATATGACAAATGTGTGTTAGTACCACTTTTAAACCAGATGGCTGTACAACCGGATCAGCAGCCCAGCAGGAGAGGCGCTCCATAGTCTGCTGTGGTTTTACATCTGAACTACGCACATTTTTACTTTCTCTGACTGACAAAATCGGATGTTTTCGTATCACAAATGACAAAGGCATTAAAAGGTTAAACATGAGACCCGTAGTCAGGTTTCCACTGCAGGTTTTGCTGATGTAGGAGGCACAGAAATAAATAGTTAAATATTTTTGTATTGAACAGCTTAATCTGATTCATCTGACAAGATTCCAGCACAGCCCTAATTATTTATTTTATTAACTGTCCAATGTCAATATTGGTATTAGTATTGGCCTAAAACTCCAGTGTCCTCATTCACAAAAGTTTCTATTTAACTGCTACTAGTTGAAAAACCGTGGGCTCATTCTGTGGGTTTGTGTTTATTTGTGTAGCACCAAGAAGTCAATGCCCATGGCGAAAGATCTCAGACTTGTATGATAAAACCAGGGATTACACTAAATAACCAAAAGCTTTTACCTTTTAAAGACTGCTGATGTGCAGCTACAAGTTGCGAGACATTTGTGAACCTCACACAGTCAGAATACATGCAGCATCCTTTGCTTGGGCCGTTTGAAGACCCGAAGTGATGAATGAATGTGATGTGCGTGCAACAGTCATCACTTCACAAGAGATTACGCATACTTTCCCACTCTGTCATGCACCAAATCTCTGTACTTTTCCCAGGAGAGGTGGACGAGGACTCTTTTGAAGCTAGCTGTGTATTGAGGCACTTGAGCGGCGTTGAGATTGATGCTATCAGCGTCTGCAGAGCTCTCCACGCTGTCACCACCTACATTTTTTAATTCTCTGTGTATGTCAGGGTGAGGCACCTTCACCTCTCCCCTCTCAGGTTACATTATTCAAAAGCACTCCAGTAGTGTGTAGCCATTGTGTCTGCATAGAGCTTTCTAGTAAACCACTTTATAAAAGAGGGCTGATATGTGGACCACAAGTGGGACGTGGCGTAAGATGTATGTGTGTGAGTGAGCATAGAGTATGCATTGGGTTACACGCGGCGCTTTCGTGACAGTGAGCGTGAAGCCTATTTGTGTAATCTCAGCAGGCTGATGGCTGCGAGATGTGATTGCATTCTTGTATCGCCGGCTTTGTTTATAGGTGCGTTTACAATGATCCCACCGTGTGAATTCAGCCCATGTAAATCCCTGACAATAGGGCCTCTCTGATTGTACAAAGGGCCGCGGATTAAGCAGGGAGCCTGTGACAGTGCCGGTCAGAGGAGAGAGAGGCGGGAGGCAGGGAGGAGGATGGGGGTCACTTTGACCTCTACAAAGACAACTTTAATTTCAAACACGTGCCTCTGTTTGCCGCGGCCACCGTTAGTGTCACCGTGGCAGCATTGTGCTCTGTTCCCAGTAGCCGTGGAAACCCTGTGTGCGTAAACTTCAGACTCTGGTTCATTGCTGTGGGAACACTTGACACACAGCCACAAATCCCACCTCCCGTGCAGAGAAAAACACTATCAGCTCATTCTGTCACAGGCTAAGTATGTCAGCGCACTTCACACATTGTCTCACGCAGGTTGTCCTTGAATTCCTCGAGTTCCTCCTCCTGTTTCTGTGCAAGTTTTAGCCTGGAGTCCTGCCTGGCCCTCTCTCTCTCCTGAATGAGTTCACTATGTTTGGATTTGAAGGCTGAAATCAATCTGCTGTTTCCGCTAAGCAGCTGACACTTAGGGCCTTTTGTTTTTGCGCAGTAGAGTGGGGGATTTCACTGAGCCGCGATCAAAACGCGGACTAACCTTGCGCAATTAAGTGTTCTGTCCTCCTCTCATCTTCCCCCTGTCATGTTTTGGTGCCGCCCACCTTTCCTCCTCCTCTTGATATTTCCCTTTTCTTGCCTTAGACAGCAGGGGGGAGATAGTATTTCAACTTAGAGAAGAAAGGAAAGGATAAACAACAGCACGTTGGCCCCTGAAGCTAGACACACCTCTCTACACCTTCACATCCCAGCTCCTTATACGCTCCCTCCTCTTTCTTGTCTCTGCCTTTCCACTGAAGGTCTAATTTACACAATAACAATAGATACGTTGCATAACACCGAAAACAACCCATCTCCTGATCTGATGTTAATTTCACATATGGAAGAGCACAGGATGACGACGATCTTTGACATAATCACAAACGCAAACCAACGTTCAGGTAAACTATTACATGCTGTTCCAACCATCAGCAGCTCTGCCTCTAGCACTCCTGGGTCCACATACTTCTCCGTAAACTTTGCCAGAATTGCTACATGCTGAATAATCTCAGAGTTGGCCAATCAGATGGAATTAAAAATATGTGTTGCGGTAGCCTGGTTGTTGAGCAATCTCTCCCACAGCCTCACCTGGGCAATGCTCAATCCCAATTATGATTACTGTTCCCCTCTGGTATGCTGCGCTGTTCGCTCTCCTCATCTCACCACGAGTTATTAATCAAGAAGCAGTCCTAGTATGTTATAATTTATTTTGTTCATTGACATATAATTAAAACCACATACTGCATAAGGCTGTAAGTACTGCTAATGTTTTCTTAGTGATTAATTTGCAGATGGATTTTCTCAATTAATCATAAATGTCCAAAAATAGGGAATTTCCCAGAGCCCAAAGACGTCTGCACATTGGTTGTTATTCAAATCAACGGCTCAAAACCCAAAGATATTCAACAGTGACAGAAAAGAAAAACGCAGCAAATTTTCACATTGAAAAAAGCTGCTAACAGCTAAATTTTTGGCATTTCTACTTTATGAATTTATAAACAATAGATTATTATAAATTGTTTTATACTACAGTAAGTTGTTTCAGCTATAATATTGCATTACTGCAGTATTAAAAATGAATAAGAGTGGCAGGAGGTCAGAGGGGTTGTACTGCAAACACTGAAAATGCTAACATTTATAACAACAGGTAATGTTTACCATCTTAATTTACCCTGTTAGCATTCTAGTTAGTTTGCACTCAACATGTGGTATAGCAGAGGATGTTATTAGTTGCATGTGTTTGGCTATAAAACAAACACACATTGGACAAAGTGAAGGTTCGACCTCATGGTGACGCTTTACGGGAAGTGAAAGGAAGACGAATGTCGTCACCAAATTTCATTGTAATCCACCTTATAGTTGTTGAGACATTTCACTCAATACCACAAACTTAAACCTCATGGTGGTGCTAGAGGAAAAGTCAGGGGATTGTCAAAGTGAGTAGTCTCCATCCGATGAATGCCTGTCTGTCCAATAGTCGAAATGTTTCAGTCTGAACCTTTTCACATGGCTTAAAAGTGTTTAATTAAGCAAATAGTCCCCCGTGTGTTCAGTGTATTAGTTTATATTAGTTTCTTTCATTGTCATTTATTGGTGTTTTGTGCCTTTTTCAGTGTCCTTTATTAGCTTTTTATGTTTGCATCTTTACTTTGATCAACTCTGGTTGTTTTAAATGAGATATATGAATAAACTTGATTCGATTTTATCCGATACACCGGCTCCAAATGAGAATTGTTCACACTTCTCATCCGTAGTTTTCACTCAGATCATTGATCCACTGGTTACTGTGAGCAACTGACAGAAGCTCTATATTTAAATTAAATTGCGGTGGCCAAGCGCAAACCAAAGTGTGCCCTGGCTCCGTTTCCTCACAGAAGATATTTAGTCTCCGGTGATGGATTTTCTCGAAGCCTTTACATCCAGCCGTCTGTTTTCATTGGAAGCTAGGCAGCACAACTGCAGACAGATAGCATCTCTGCTCCTGTGAAGTTGTGGAGCTCTCCACTCATCGAGCGCCAACCAGCGGCAGCGTAGCCGCACCCTGCGCTACCTTAAGAAAATAAACACAGATCTTTTTGTTACAGTTACACACAATTCATCTGTCTTTGTTTGCTTTGCAGAGAAAATTCAGGGCGCTTAGAAGTGATGTGGTTAGTACTTGTCTTATCACTGTTAATTTTCCACGCCGCCCACAGTAAGTAGGAGTAATGATGGTTAGCACAAAGATGAATGTTTGCATGATGTTTCACCCAATTACAACCACCTGAATTATAGTTTATTTTTTCTCACTTTGTACATTTTGATCAATTGATCATTGGAACATTGTCAGCTGATGTCAGATCGTCTTCTTACTTGCAAGTGAGAAAGATCCTTCTACATACTTTATCTTAATTTAGTAATTCCCTGCTAATCATGTTTGTAATCAATTTGCGCTATTTTTCTTTCTTTTTCTGTGTGTATTGCTGTTGTAATCTGTGTCGGCATGCTGTGCCTGATCACAATCCCGAGGCAGAGGCAAGAAAGAGTGAGAGTGACTGCAGAGAACAGTAGCCCACCGCCAAATCGTGCCCTGTTTAAAACAAAAAACAAAATCCATTCACACATACCAGACACCTCAGCACACACACACGCACAGTTGCAGATTCCATCTACCATCAGCACCACCATGTCAGACGACACTGTCAGATGACCTTTGTACCCACTGATCCTCCATATAAAAAGGTGTTTATGTCGCTCTGTGGTGTTTGACAGAGTACCAGCAGGATTAAAGCAGCCTTGCGGTGAAAAGACTTTGATCAGCTCTCTCCTCTCCTCTCCAAACCCACAGCGTCATGCTGACTTACAGATCCCAAAGCTGAAATCGCTCTTTGTTTCCCCTCCACCTGCCCATTGGTCCAAGTCAGTCTATTAATTAGTGAGTGAGGGAATAAGGTCAAGCAACTGATCTCTGCTGATGTTGTCTAATGAGGACTCTTTCTAGGAAGGTTGCGTGTTGGTATTTTTTTCAGTCTTTAGTGACCTAGAAATAAAGGTGGTGTGACTAAAAGGTGCTGCCGAAAGTCTCTCCAACCCTCCTCACCTACGCAGAACTTTACTGCTCGACTTCTGTATCGTAGTCACTCAGGACTGGGCTACCGAAAACTGTATTTCTTAGAGTTCATATGTAAGTCCAAGTAGTCAAAAGGCTTGAAAGCTTAGATTCTTCCAGTTGTATCTTACAGTATCAAGTATCAACTGAGAGTAATACGGTCCTATGGTGACCTAATGAGGCTTTTTTATCTTTCTTATACAAGTTATTCTGCTTTCAGTGCAGAGCAGTTGCAGTGAATTCCACCGATACTCAGTCTATCTGCTTTATAAATGTGATGCAAAGTAAGGACAGACGTGATCTTGTCAAAAGTGCTTCAGTGGTTCAGATTAGAGGACTGCATTGGGATTAAATCTTAAAGGAGCGGGCGGTTTTTACTTTGCTGCAGGCAGGAGGTTTATTTTAAAAATGTAATCTGATAAAGTTAATAATTACCACGTTAAAGTATCACAATTGGAAAGTAACTTTATTATTTCCTGTTACTTTTGGATTATCTGAACACCAAATAAAAACAAGAAGGAAGTCATATTAATAAGTCTTGTCAAAAATGAAGAAATTGGAAAAAGATTTTCCATTGCTCAGTGCACTTAAAAAATAAGAATTAAAATTGTAATCCGGCTAAATAATCCCCATGTTTACTAACTGTAATGGATTACAGTTACCTTTTTTTTGTATCTTTATTATGTAGCTCAGTTACATGTAATCTGTTACTCCCAAAGCCTGACTGTGGGCGGGATTTAGATTCAAGAAATAAGATTAAAGCGTTTACAAAACTACAGCCATACACTGACCATTTGAGAAATTTTGCAGATGTTACTGATGTCTTTTCACCTGTGGGCAGGTGAATGCGGGCATGAATGGTCAAACTTTTTTCAGGAGCAGGATTAAGGACACAGTTATGCTCAGGGTAGTAGTTCAGAAATAACTGGGTGGGTGGGTTTAAGTTATGGTGTTGAGGTGCCATTGTGGAGACACTCGATCCCCAACTGTGTTAAGGCGGAGGTGTGAATGCCCAAAAGAAGCAACACCTGTCCACTCACTGCATGAAGTAGGCATGCTTGTTGAATTGTCTGTTTTAGGAGGTTCATTCACAGCCTCCTCAATACTTACAGACACTCTTCAGTCATCAAACCAGCACTTCTGGTGAAGCATACTGACGCCTTTTAGTCTGTCTCACACTTGTGAATGTATTAATCTGTGTGAATGTGAAACAGAGTGGTGTTGGAGTGTTAAAAGCATGTTCCTTTCAGTTTGCCAGAATAAATAAAAGGGGAAAAAAAATGCCTTAGTGTTCAAGCCAAGCGTTATGTGTCCCAATAGGACATAATCAGAACTCATTATTGTCTTTGTGTGAAAAAACATCTTATCTGTGTTTATTTTGATTATTAAAAACTGAAAGTGGATAAAAGACATGATAAGAGAGACTTTAAAACTGCTGTTTGTAATGCAGTTTTACGGTAGCTCATCTGTGTGTCACATTTAAAAGGATCTAGTGTCAGAAATTTAAATATAATATTCATAGGTTTGTTTCCCTTAGTGTATAATCACCTGAAAATAAGAATCACTGTGCTTTCGTTACCTTAGAATAAGATGTTTTTTTATCTACAGACGCCGCAAAGTCATCAAATACAGATGTGAGCAGTGTTCAGTTAATTGCAATCTGCAACTTCTCCACTAGATGCCACTAAATCTTACACACTGATCCTTTTCAAAACAGCGTCTCGCTTACTGCCAGTTATGGTGGTCCAGAAAAAGCAAACCCTGTTTTCTGTTTTAATAAATCTGTTTGTTGTTTTTCATCCAGGTACGCAATCATGTGTGGAATTATGGCCGAATATGACACCGTACAGAACAAGATAAGGAACGGATACATCTTTAAGGTAAACTGAGGCTTGTTGTGACTACTTGCTGCACCATTACGTGTATACATTTGTCTTATATATTTTGGATGTTGCATGTACTTGAGAGAAGAGGGGAATAGCCGCTCATATCACTTAAGCCAGTAGGCCACTCCTACAGCGGCCCGGTTGCATAAGACGAAGTGTGGGACAACGGCACGTAGCATTTTATCTTCTTTCAGCGGCTTCCCTCAAAACTCTTGACAGGTGAAAGAGGGAGAGATAGAGAGCGCTGGCGAGGGAACATTTAAAAAAAAAAAACTTGAATCAGAGAGAGGGAGAATGGAAAAGAACGAGGGAGGGTGTGTGACAGCCGGGAGTGTGTGGCCGCTCTTGAGAGATCGCGTGTGTGAGAGGTGTTTGTGAAATACTTGTGGGTTGGTGAAGCAGGACAGATCAGGTCAGAACAGAAGGCAGTGGAAATAGCAGCCGTGTCATGAATCAACAGTGAATATCTTCTCCCTGTCTGTCTTGTCTGTCTGCTTCCCCTCCCAGGATCATCTGGATAAAGCCATCGAGCTGAAGCCGCAAGACCCCATGTCCTACTACCTGCTTGGGCGCTGGTGCTACGCTGTATGTGACCCTCCCGACACACACACACATCTATCTCTCCCAAATCTGTCCTCGCATAGACAAGCAGTGGATTTATGGAGGCTGACATGTCTGCGTGGCCTCCCTCCTCGCTTTTGGCTAACCCACCCACGGTTTCCCCTCATTCATTCCCAGTGTTTAGGTTTCCCTGAGGTTTGTTTTCCCCTCCGCGATACTCGCAGAAAGCGCTACGGGAGGTTAACACCAGCCATTGTTTGCTTTTAAATCAGATTGTACCAGGGAGATATTTTCATCCTGTTTCTATTCGGCTCATGTTCTTTCGGTGCGAGCGGTTGTTTTTGATGCAGCTTGACGATTGTTTCTAAGACCATCATGTCTTTTGTCTGTCAATCATTAATCACCACCGGTATTTCTTTTTCTTTCTTTTTAAATAACGTGCGGTGATGAATTACTGTCATTTAGGTGTAAAGGTTTACAGACGTTCTGCTGTTCCTGTTGTTTCATGAGCTAACTTGGTGCCAGTTGTCAAACTAACTGCCTTTAAGGAAGGAAGCTATTACAGAGATTGCTCTGATTACATTTTATAATACTCACCTACACTGGTTGGTAGCAGAGACTGAGACGAGGGACTGTGCAGATATAGTGTGGAGCAGTAACACCTGATATTTTCAGGGATTGAGTTTTATGGGCTCTGTGTTCAACAATGATCTACTGTTTGTATTCAGCCAGCGGTTCTGTTTGAAAGGTCCTGCGATGACGCCAAAGCAATGCTACACCTGCAATTAGACGTAGCTGTGATGAATGGTGCAAGGCAGGAACATAACATGTTTGACCCGGCCATCTCCTGGCCATTATCATCTTCTGCAAAAAGTGTCAGTAGAAAAGTATCAGTGCACGAGGGGGGTACATGTGGTTGTGGAAACACTGGGACAGTCGGGAATGTGTGAAAATGTGTATGTGGGTATTCGTTTATGGTAGCGAAGAGCCACAAAATTCATTACCTTTGTTTCTGTTAACTGTTGAAGCATTCAATTTTACTGCTGGTTGCACAGAAGTGTCGTTACGTTTAACGGACTAAGAGGAAAAACCTCCACATTACGTCAATATCTCAGTAGATAGCAGTGATATAAAACAGAGATTTTAATTATTAATCGTAAAATTTTTCATTAAAAAGTTGATTTTATTTTGGAAACCTGAGGGAATGTTTACGTTTTTAGTTTAACAGGAGAAAAGCAGCTCATTACTGATGAAAGTCTTGTTTTTGCTCTCCTCCATATAAAACAGGCCTGAAACTTGTGAGACGCTGCTTTCTATCCTGGTGTTCAGTTACTCTTAAACTATTGTGCAGAATTGTGTCTTTTAACTTGAGATCTTTGGTGGTTTTGCAGGTGGCTCAGTTATCGTGGATTGAGAGGAAAGTTGCTGCAACACTATTCGGAGATCCTCCGAGTGCCACAGTTGAAGACGCCCTGAATCATTTTCTTAAGGTACTGCGATTCATTCTGCACTTACATGTGAATCCTCAAGGCTGCAGTATGCTGAAAAAGAACTAGTTCTTACGTGTCTTCACATCTGAATGAAAAAGTGTTTTTAGGTTGTATTTTCTCACCTTCACTCACCTCGAAGTGGGTGTGACTTTTGTCGGTGTTTTTTTTTTTTCTTCCAGAAAGGCAACAGTGTTCGGGCCGTTGAAAGCAAAATCAACCAGAACTGACATGCGTTTGCGTATATTAACAGTTAGCTAAAAAATAATTACACAAACATATAGACTTGTTTTTATTTCGATACTTTTTAAAAGTCCAGCGTGTAGGATTTAGTGACATCTAGTGGCGTAGCTGCAGATCCCAACTCCTTCGCTTCACCCTCCCCTTCTAAGCACGAAGGAGAAACTACGGTGGCCACAAAACTCGGGGAAAACGTGAACGCCACCTTTCTAGAACCAAACTTTTGGTTTGTCCACTCCAAGTTACTGTAGAAACATGGCTGCTCCCTCTGTAGATAAAAACAGTTCATTCTAAGGTAACAAAAACATAACATTCAGATGATTTTACACAATAAAAACATAGTTATGAATATTGTATTACATTTCTGCTAACAGATCCTAAATGTTTCACACTGGACCTTTAATCGATTCTCCCCCGATTAATAAAACCTTTAACGTCCTGTTTGTGTAGCATTCCCTTTCTTCCAGGTCGCCTTTGTACCAGTCTTCAAAGACGGCTTCCGCTCCGTATTTAGAAACTGTGTTCCCACATTTCAAATGTTTATATAGTAGAGAAATTAATTTAGCTTCTGGCCAGTACTCCTCTGCATGTCTCTTCCTCATGGCTCACCCATCAATTTAATTTAAGTGGTCTGTGTAACAACACGCAGCTCATGACCTTAAGGAAAGCCTCCAGCGAGCCTGTCGAGCTTTAACAAAAAACATCCTGCAAGGTTGTGTAGGTCTCCAGCCCGTAATGAGCGGTTATCTGTACCTGACTAACTGTTTAGGTTGTAGCAGCTGCAGGAGGAAGAGAAGAGGGTGAGTGAGTCAAGTGTTGTTCTGGGCCTTCAAACAAATCTATACCAGCAGCTGCTGTACCGAGACTACTATAGTGGTGTGTGCATTATGAACAGAGATAAATTGTCTTTTAAAGGCTGAAAGAACTTTTTTTGTCATTCAGGTTGAGGAGATCAAGCCAGGATATTCCAAACTCAACTATGTGTTTCTAGCTAAGGTCAGTACCAGAAACCTTTGGGATGAGTTCACTGTGTGATGTTCTGTGGCATCCTACTGAGACCAAACAATGCATTGACAGTTTTTATTCTTTTCTTTGGCAGTGCTACAAAGTCCTGGGGCAGAGGGAAAAGGCGAGGAAGATGTGTGAAGCTGCTTGTTCAATAAATTCTGTATCCAAAGAGGTAGACCTTGTCACTGTCCTGTTGCACTACAGTGTTTATCAGAGGTTTCCCCGGTTAAAAGACTTCAGCTGGTAGTTTAAGCCCATGATTCTGATATAAGCAATTTTATTAGTCAATATTGATCACACTTGAGTTTTCCTGACTTTTTATACAATTCTCTGTCTCTATTATGTATTTTTAAACTTTTTAAACCCTACACACAATCTAAGCAAACAATTTAATTTAGTTTTCTTTACAGAAATGATCAAACTACTGAGATACAGACTCACAGCGTGTATTTTTAAAGGTTAAAGTTGAGTTGAACCACTGGTGTAGACAAACCTCGAGCTCCCTGTCCAGGTACACTTAGCTAACTAGCTAGTGACAGCTGCTCATGCAGCAGCGCTGTGTTACAAGAGAAAAGGTCCGTGTTGCAACAATCCTCTGATACTTTTATCCAGCTCCTATTATATCCTGCAAATATCTGATTCTCACTGGATTATTTAATCTGCTTTTCATGTCTCCTTATAAAATACTTTATATGGAATCTGAATACAAATTAAGGCGAAATAATACGTTGAATAATATTTTAAATAATGTTTTTTCCTCAGGATGAAGAGGCACAAAAGGAGCTGGACGTACTCTGCCCGGCGCTTGGAGTGTGACGACAGCGATATCACTTTCTTTTAGAGATTTATTTTCCATGTGCTGTCGGTGAAGTGTGTGTGTGTGTGTGGGGATATTAGGTGTATTGAGAGGCCATGATGTTAATTCACTCTGTGAGTGGAGGGAGGTGTGGTGTGGCATTATATCATCAATGGGAGCAACAACCAGAGACAGAACCGTCCTGTGTTGGTTTTCAATCAGACTTGTATTCAAACTGTATTTTTAATGGTGAAAAACAAACTTTTTTCATTCCTGGTTGTATCAAATCGGTGAGATGATGGATTGTTTTCCCGCTCTAGAGTAATTAAGTCTGTTCATCGTGTCTATGAGGTGGATTTGTGTTGATTTTAATTGTTGCAGAATTGGTTTAATCAAGTAAAAAAAAAAAGTTAAAGTAAATTCAGTGTGATGTTGTATAAAATATATATTCCCAGTTGCTCTGTGTGTAGCAGACATTACAGTGTGTCTCATGGATACTGAGTTTTCTTGACAACAAAGACCTGTCACTTTTTGGGAAAGTGACCCACGGGGACTTGCTGTTCCTTCCTCTTCCGTCCTGGTTTTTTTTTTCTATTTTGTTGCGTCTCCCACTACACATTCAAGAGGCAATAACAAAAGCACATCAGACAATGGCGCACCCAAACAAAGATCTTGGAATGCCGTGACCACCGGACGACCTCGTGCCCTATCCTCGCCGCCGTCTGTCAGACCCGCGTTGGTGCTCTCTGGCTACGTTTACATGCAGACTTGGTGATGATCGTGATTACATGGATGAATTTGTTCTTTTATGATGTGTTTTATGAGATCTGATGAACTGTGATTGTTGACTTTGGCATCTGTCCATCGAAAGTCATTCATCCTCACTCAGCTCCTGTGACAGTAACGCCACTCCAGTGTATCTGCAGATAAACAACAGAAGATATAATACACTCTTGGAGAGCCCTACGTGCAGGTTTCTCCTGCTTTTGAGCAAAATAACCCCTTTTTTAAACATTTACACAGAGCTCTGACTGCCTTTTATTTTATTGCTCTTATACTGTTTTTACATCTGCGTCATTTAAAGTCTATTTTACTCAGACGCCTGTTTTATTATGAACTCTTCCAATGTCAGAGAAAGCGAAGAGGCATCTTTAGCCCAACGCTTGAAGTTAAAAAAAAGGGTTTAATGTTTATATTAGGCTCCGGTTACACTGCACATATACAACACCTAATTATCCCGCTTAATGCTTAATTAAGGTTTTGCTCAGGTTTCAGTTAATGTAAAAAACACCCTGGTTTAAGTCATCGCCGTCCACATTTCTTTTTATACATTTAGTGACAAAAGCTCATCATCATCAGTCCTCATCAGTTCACTGACGGATAAATAACATATTTAGATTGAGGGGTTTATAAACGACCTCACTGGTGTGCATGTAAATGGAGTCATTGAGCAGGTTGGAGGAAGGTTGGAGCGATGGGAGCGACCTGTTGCCTCGGCGTGATGTGATGGTGCATATGATTGCATTCCAGGTTAAATAATACCACTAAAATGAAATCAGCTGGTACGGAAGTAACATTTAAATGTTTAATCTCATTACTGTCTTATGCATTCCTAATTATTTTACACTTGATAATGTTTCTACTCAACCGTGTGATGTATTTTAGACCATAAGGGTTTGGTTGTGTTTACTCTTCTCTCGTCTTTAGATTTAGGGTCTGATTGTATTTAATTTTATGTTACACTACATGAATTGTGAATAAGAATTTATATGACTTTACAGATTTCTCTGTTAGCAGTACGAATGTATTTCTTTTTTTTTTTTTTTTAATGCCAAAGTAAGTTCAATATTCCTTACGGTTACGTCAAATCTGATACACTACATAAAGATTATACTGTACAGTATCACAGGCAGTGTGCTCTGAATGATTAATGATACTGGAGTCTATAATTAAATCTGTGCAATGCTGATTTAAGTTGTCAGTTTGTCATTTGTCTCGCTTGTTTGAGTCCCAGAGCTTGTTTATGCACTCGTTAGTTTTATTGCTGTTTATGAGGAATACCCTCGTTTTTGTAATCTCTCTAACGTATTATTAAAATGTTCAGATTTATCATAAATTAGATTGAGCTGAATCCAAAACCAACTGAAGATGTAACACGTAGGCTCCTGCATGACTGTCAGTAAGTGTGAAGGCATCCCTTCCCTTTTCCCCAGACTACACGTTCTGTGCCAGAGCAATTGGGAATTTGTTACTGGATCAGATTCAGACCAACGTCCCACCGGTCTAGTCATGTTTTAGCTTTCTTTCTTTGCCCTCCTCCCCCTCCTCCTCCCCTTTATGGAGGAACCACTTTAAATGTGTGCCTCCCAGAAGAGCACAGGTGTTTGTTTATACAGTCCGGAAAGCTTCAGCGTTCCTCGACTGATTTTATTTGTTTCCTGTGCAGTAGATTCACTTACAGCTCTAAGGGGTTTTCTTTCATATGAAGGGAACTTTTGATGTTTCATATTTATTCACAGGCATCATATAGTAGGTCTCTGCCTGAGATAGCATCTAATCTTAATGTCTGTACATTCTGGCCTAAAAGACAGGACCTCATGTTGCATAAGAATTTAGAGGCTTTAGCTTTCAGATTTTCTTCCTCCTGATTTTAATACTTTGGG